GTGGCACTTGCGGGCGGGAGCGCCGGCCCCAAGTGTGCAGCCCTTGGAGGGGGCACCGGCCCCAGCGCGCAGCTATGGGGGGGCCCCGCCCCCCGGGAGCACAATTGTCCCCGCCCCCTGGTGCCCGGCGGGCAAACGGCCACGCCCCCTGGCGCCCGGCAACCTCTAATGGTTGGGGACCACTGTTTTACAGCATTTATTGCTTAGTTTAGCATGGCTCCTACTATCTAAGGGCCTGATTCTTCTACCCTTACATTGAGGAGCACCCTATCTACAGTAGTGCTATTGGAATCAATAGACTAAGAGCTGAGTCAAGTACAGGGCATCCCTGCTATATATCCAAGATACTTTCTAAAAAATGTGGATGTATAGCGAAATGATGTAAAGCAGGGAATTTTTCCCCCCACAGCTGACCTCCATTGCGCAAATTGGGGAGGGGTTGCACAACGTAAGAGTGGGGAATGAGAGGACTTACAATGCATCAGTTCCTACAAGCGTCAAGGAGCCACAGACGCAGGTTCATTACCTGTCCTGCAGTATGACACTGCTGAAGAGGTTGCTGGCATGAGACACCAGTTGCACCCACGTTATGCTATTGAGCCTATCAGGAGACTAGCATGGAGGCAGGGTTGCCAAAGCTCTGAGAGAGCTGCACATTGTACCCTCAGTCTCTTCTTCTTTCCCTTTCCGCAACCTCTTCTCTACAGCCAGCCACACGGTCAGGAGCTGAAAGGGAGTCATTACTGCATTGGAACGGAGATTCTAAGTACTCCCACACCCTTCACCCACTGTTGAGGTGACTTCTGCCACATGTGGCACAAACTAATCCTTCCACCTTCCTGAATATAACAACTGAGTGGGATGCACAGTGGGGGAGGTTCCTTATGCCGATGTTACCCTTTGTGCTTCTCCATAGGCTCCCAGCCACAATCTGGTCCTATGCATTTAGCTGCTGTGTTTATATCACTCTTAATATTTCTCATCTTAACACTTTATTACAATTAAGGGCTCTGTTTGGACCAGGTTTATGCTCAATTATGCCTGATTTTTGCATAATTTAGAGAGAAATGTGGAGGAGCATGACTTTTCCCTCTAATTTTATGCAAAATTAGCATTTAGCCACCTGGGATTTGACTGAGAAGCAAGAGCACACATCTAATAGAGGAATGCATGGCATCTGAACAGGGACTGAGTCAGTACTAAACCAAAATTGTACAAATTGATCAATACCATTTTTTTTAAATCTCCTTCTTTGCATAGCAAATTAAAGTATGGTTCTGTAATGAAAAAAAAATGACTGTAAAAATGGCATCATCTTTTTTATGAGTATTTTTGTTCCAAATATATATTTCCAAAGACATTTTTACCGACTCGCTGGCAAACTAATTTTTGTATTGCTTTTGATTCTGTATAGCTCAGAGAGGGGGGAACAGGATCCTAAGTCTTTCAACAAAAAAAGTTTGCTAAATTCGAATCAGTTACATCCATGCAAATCCACTGAAGACAGTGGAACTGCAACTGTCATGGAAGGCTCAATTTGGCTTGCAAATCTTTGGCCAAGATTTTGAGAAGTGATTCATTATTTTGGGTGCCTAATTTGTGCCTATGTTTTGGGTCTCAGTGCTCAGCACTGCCTGTAAATCAGACACTAAAAAATTGAGGCATCCAAAATCACAATTTCTGTTGGTTGAAAGCCATCAGTACAGTGATCATGAGGGAGAAGGAAATCCCAAGTGGGTTGGCAGGGATAGCAGCTAAAAATTATTTTTACTTGTAGATTAATCATCTTTGGAAAGGCATTGTTAAGTGACAACCTCTGCAATGCTTTTTATGCAGAAATCACTTTTCAGAGAAGTACTGCTCTTCAAAGCACTCAGGCAGTTTTCATTTATACCACTTATAAACATGTGACAGAGAATTCAATGTCTCCACGTGGTAGATAGCAGTCTATGACCTTGGAAACTGAATACAACTGTTTTCATATGGTGTACTGTTCCTGAACAGTATTTCCAACACATCCCACAAAAACTAGAGCTCTGTTGGTAAAGATGCAGGCCATCTTACCCTTTGTTTTTATCCTTTCAGGGAAATCTATGAATTGTGCGGTCAAAGCAAAGAAATACATTTCTGAATTATAGCTGAGCCTGTCTTTCCTGTTTTTGTTACTATACCTTTCCTATGTTATTGCAGGTTCTTGCCAAAATATAGAATTGTATTCCAAATAAATGTGCTAGATTCTGACCTCCACTATACTGATATAAATCTGGAGAAACTCCACTTCAGTCAATCTAATTACTCCAGGTTTACACTGATGTAATGGAGAAGAGAATTTAACCCGTTTGTTTCCTTTTCAGACTTTGGTAGTATATAACAAACTTTATGCCTCAGTATGCATGAACAGCTTCTGTCTTTTTTCTTTCTGTTTATGTTGGAATTGATTTTCCTCCTTTTGATATGAAGAGCAGGATATCTGGTTTATTTGACTCATTACCAAATTGTTGCACCTGACCACAAACAAAAGAGGAAGTGAAGGTGGATGTACTTACAGGGATATAATAATATGCACCATTAGAAATATAGAATTTCCCATACCATCAGATATGATAAATGGCTTACCAAGCCTTGTATCCTGCCTCTCACATTATCCAGGATTTGATAGGAAAACAATGAACATGCATAATACACCATCCCGGCCAACTGTGCAATGCTATACGTGCATGGGGAAAATTCATCCTGGTTCCTGAGGCAATCAGCTTATGCACTGAAGTGTGAGATCTGATTTGAGAATCTGCATAAGTACGCTACCTTGGAGATTGCATCTTCATAGTCCAATGCCACAGTCAAGCCACATTGGGACTCACTTACTTCCCTTCTGTGGTCTAAAAAAAATCCTTCACCTAAAATTTGGAATCCATTCTGTGATACAAGGTCGGAAAGCATGATTGGGGGGAAAGGGGCCATGTTGCCTCCTTTGTGGAGAGTCTGTTTATTTAGCGCTACATAGCAAACCCATAGTCCCCTCTGTTAAGAGGATCCAAGAGTGAAAAAAGTTGCCCTTCTGAATCAACATTCATAGAAGAGGCCTTACATATCAGCAAATGTAACCATGCTGCTAAGTAGAAATTAGAGGCAGCAAAATTTGGGAAATCATCTTACCCACATCCCTGCCAGAGCTGGGTTGTTCATGACAATGTGTCCAGACATGGCCGAAGAAAATACATTTTAGAATTCAAATGAATATTCATGGAATATTTTCTGCATTATTCACTCAGCTATATATCTGTGTGCAGTTCTTACAAGTGATGAAAACTCCTTCCATCTCCTCTCAGGCCTGACCCAGGTAAACAGATGTGGTATGGCTTAATTTTCTTGCTGTCTCTGCTGCCAGCTTTCATGGCCCTGTCTCCATTTTTTTAAGTCTAAATTCTAATTTATTTCCAACCCTAAGGCTTGTTCCCACTCCTAATTTATCATTAACTGTCCTCTGCCAGTTATGAAGGGTCAGATTCTGCCACTCTTACTCATGCTGAGTAATAAGTACAAGAGAGAGTAAGGGTCTTGCAATTGGGCCTTAAAGATTCCCCCTTCTACTTTTTCTATTTCAAAGCATATTTTCGTACCTTATTTCTCTCTAACTACTGCAATCCCCCAGGGAAAATTTCCTTTCACTGGTTGACCTCTCCATTGTTCTTTGCTAAGCTAGTGAGTTATTTGGCTGGCTGCCTGGTTGTAAGATCCCCCCTTCTGGGTCATTTGCTGATTTCATGGATGCTATTCTTCTCAAATATGCCATTGATTTCTTACAGAGCAATGGGCTGCTAGTAATCTATATTGCTGAACAATAAATAAAATGTTTAAATATATCACTCAACGTGTAAAACAGATATGCTCACCTAGTCTAGTCAACACAAATCAAGATATATACAGACTTCTGTTATGTAAATAGCTTATTCTTTTTTGCTCTATGCAGGAAGTGGATATTTACACAGTGAAGACTGAAGAGCTGGCATTTACATCCGCTTTCTGCCTCCAAATTCAGCGCAACGACTACATCCATGCCCTAGTCACCTATTTTAATATTGAATTTACAAAGTGCCACAAGAAAATGGGATTTTCCACAGGTGCGTTATATCTTTACTGCCACAACTCCATTGCATCATAATCCTGAAGGTGAGAATGTGAATCTTTTATTCACATCGATGAACAGATACTCACTGCAGTAGTCCTATTTTTGTGAACTGCTCACCAAAGTGAGTAAGTAGTTCATAGTCTTGCCTTAGCCAGTATAGCTTATTAAAAAAAAAAATCTAATGACTGAGGTTGTGTCTACACTGCAGAGTTTTTCCAAAAAAAAGGCTGTTTTTCCAGAAAAACTTCACTTATGTCCACACTGCAATTGTGTACTTTCAACAGAAAGTCGAAAGAATACAAGGGTTTTTCCGACAGTGGTAAACCTCTTTCTATGAGGAAGTAACCTTTTTCTGAAAGAGCTCTTTTGGAAAAAGGCATGTGTGGATGGGGAAGAGGGTTTTTTTTCTAAAGAAGAAGCCTCTAGGAAAAAGCACAGTTTCCCTGGTGGCCACTCCGTCCATATTAATCACAACTTACATGTGAGATAGCGTCCAATCAATGTGGATGCTATCTTTCAAAAAAGCACATAGCTTTTTTCATGTGCTTTTGCAGTATGCATGCTCTCTTTCGAAAGAAGTATTTCTGGAAGATCTCTTCCGGAAAAGCTTCTTCCGAAAGAAGCCTGTAGTCTAGATGTAGCCTGTCTGACTGTATTTAAATGGACAGGATACCAAAATATCACTGGGCCAGAGTATCATTTGCCCCAAGACAAGATTATGAAGCTGTGGCAGGCCTTAAAGTGGATGTAACTTAGATGTCAGAAAATTCCCACCCCACCAGAAAATTTTTATTTTTTTTGTTGTGTCAGAAAATTCCCACCACACCAGAAAATTTTTATTTTTTTTGTTGAAAAATCTAAAATCAAAATATTATGTTGAAAAACTGAACTTGACTATGAAATGTCAGAGTGGTATCTCATAGCAGTTATAGTAGAGTGCCTCACTTCCCCATTCTCCTCTATAGTGTGAATTCCCAGGTCTGACTAGAGCTCCCATGATGCACCAGGGTTTCATCATGGGACATGAAATCTGGCTCCATAGTGGAGGATAGCCATATGAATATACTGAAGAACAACTTCTATGAGGCACCTCAGTAATATAGCCAAATGAAAATATTTTGAAGAATTGTCAAAGTATTTGTTTTCAACTGAACTAATTTTTACTTTTTAGTTATTTGTTTTTGAATTACAATAAAAAACGGATACTTATGAAAAAATATTTATTAACCCCCCCAATTTGTGACATTTTTTAACCTTGATATCAACCAGAGTAGTGTATAGGGCCCGTTTTGCAAATTTGACATATTTTTTAACCTTGATATCAACCGGAGTAGTGTATAGGGCCCGTTTTGCAAATAAGAATGTGGTCCAATGATACAATTGATGAATGTTGGCAGAGAACCACTTATGTCAATAAAACTACACTGATTAGCTTTATTTAGGTATTTGGCACATCATTATTAAACATTTTTAAATGGTAGAAGAGGCTGACAATTGCCTAATAGATTTGAGCGTCTATGATTACATGCCTCCATCTATTCAGACACATCGCGCTCCTCAGTTCAGGGAGCACAGACTATTAGATTACCTCAATCTTCTCTAAGGAACATTGGAGATGATTGGAACCCCCTGCATTCTCTCCCCGAAGCATCTGTGCTGGATCAGACTTCATTTGGCCCTAAAATGTTCCCATTTTGAAATTTTACCAGAGGCAAGCCAAACAGAGAAGAGATTAATGAAGCTCCTTTGGCGTGGATCTGGATTCTGGATCTAAACTCATGCATGCATGCACTCAGTGACATCCAACTAGTCACGTGGGTATGGGAAGCTTTCAAGGAAGCATTGCTACATAATTTAGCACTTGTCTACACACTACAGCAGGTTGAGATTTTTTGGTTGAAACATATATCCTCAGAAAATGCTGATTTGTAGAAACAAAAAGTGTTGGTTTCAACAAAGGATCGGTTTTGGCAAATGTTCCTCTTCAAAAACCTTTTGAAATAAGTAACATTTCAAAATTGTGGAAAAGTTGCATTATGATATTTTGTAAACAAAAAGGTTAATTTTTTCTCCAAAACAACTTTTTGGTTCAAAGTTGTAATTAAGTCATACTAAAGGAAGGTAAAATAACAAAACATTTGATATAAACATGGACTGTTTTTAAATTATGGAAATGACTTGATTTTGATTGGTGCAATAAAAAAATTGGATTGTCAGTTTGTGAAAACTTTAGAGATATTTACATTTCATCCCTTTTTGGGACAGCAAAATTATTCAAAATTATAACAGTTCTTACTTTAAGGGGAAACTATTTCCCATCCAGCTGTGCTACACACATAAGTTGTACCACTTTCATTATAACAATATACTAAGCAGGTCAGTCTCCATTAGTGTAAAATATTAGTTTAAAGGTGCATATAGTGGCCTGTTCCCATAAAGAAGGGGGTATAAGTTCTCCTAATATAAGGCACATTTTTATTGGTATAAATACTTCCATACCAGGATTGTGTTAGTATATCTATTTCAGCTATCAAAAAAAAAAAATCACACCATCTAAACCATATTTGTGATACTGGTACTAAATCTGTGAGCAAACCAGACCTCAGCATCTTTCTCATTATCTCATGAGTCTGATTATGTTAATGTGATTTCAGAGAATGCATGATAGTAATACTGGAAGAAACTCAGTTTGGCTTGTCACAGACAGTTGCATTTTTACTATGAAGAGCATACTGAACACATATCATTGTCTCCAGCAGACAGCAATTTAAATCAACTTCTCTTAGCAGAAAGAGAGAAGAATAAGCAAGCAAAAAGACTCCTAAATTCTTATGTGTTTCTCATCTCTCTGTCTGGTCGCATTGACCCAGACTTGCCAATAAATACAAAGACTCGTTTAACAGGGGGGAAAATCTCTCTCTCTCTCTTTTTTGGTTTTCTTTTTATAAATAGCTCTTCTGGAATTACTGTGTTATCAGCTTTCAGTGAAATGGGATTGGGAGAGGGTTGTCTCTAAATACAGTGTCTTATGCAAATCTTAAAAATATTTTTATTGTGTTAAAATATGTGTGAAAAATATTGCTATGGTTTATGAGATTCATTTGTTTGGAAAACCATCTTTCATATTTCTGTGGAACATTAGCTCTTCTCTCACACTGAGGTAAATAAGAAATGACTGGATTGAAACCAATAGTATTATATTAGGTCAAACCAATGTGACATCAGAATCAGTCCTCTTAATTTACAAGCACAGTATTTCAGCGTGGCAGAATCTGTGGATAATCCATGTAAGAAAAGTAAAGAACAGGAAAAGGGCATTTAGTTCTATATACCAGACTTTTGTTGTTGTGAATTTTCACCTTACATTCCTGTTCATTCATGCTCTTTGCTCCCATCCTTGGCTGGTAATTTATTCCCTGGAGCTGATTCTCCTCTCATACCAGTGTAACTCCATTAATTTCAGTTACTTCAGATTTACACTGATTTAAACATTGTATTTTAGTCCTACGGAAATGGAAGATTAAAATAAATGTGATGGAGGAAGTTAGAAGGTTTTTCATGCAAGATTTGATTGTTTTATTATCCATGAGATCATGGAGTCATGAGGAAGAAGTGGGTCTTAAAGTGGTTACATATCTGAACAGATTCATGGAATCAATTAATTTAATGCCTGGGTCCACAATTTAGACCAGGGCCCCAATGTACTAGGTGTTGTATAAACATCTCAAGGCTTGTCTACATTGTCCTGCAGTTCAGCCTACAAAAGTGTGAACAGCAGTGGACACCAAAGTGCAACTCTGTAACTCCCATGTGAACAGTACAGATGTGAACTAAAAGGTTCCTATTTTGCATTAACTTTGTCCTCTTCAAAGTTTGCAACCACAGTGTCCAGAGGGGAGAGTTATAGATCTGCACATTAGTGTGCACTGCTTTTCATACCCCTGTAGTCTGAATCGTGGGGCAGTGTAAACACAACCTCACTGGGGTCTGTCGGTACTACTGTGATTGGGACTAACAGACTGTTTCTGTTGTAAATTTTTACAACAACCTCACTGGGATCTGTCGGTACTACTGTGATTGGGACTAACAGACTGTTTCTGTTGTAAATTTTTACAACATAAATAGACAAGAGAAAAAAAGAGTGAAAGAAAGGAAGTATTCCTTTCACCAATTTTATAAATAGGCAACTGTCACAGACACGCTGTTAAGTAATTTGCCCAAGAACTCAGCTGGCTGTCCTAATAAGGAATGTGTCCATGGAAATCATCAAGCAATGTAATACAAGGATATAAGAATCATGAAAGCAAGCTTGGGAAATAAAAAAAATGTAGAGTAAAATTTTCAAAAGTGCACAATTGACTTAGGAATCCCATTTTCAAAAGTGACTTAGGAATATAAATATTAGTGAAATTCAGGGAGATTTAGGCTCTGAAGGCTGAGATGTGTGAAATCAATGGGAGTTAGGTGCCCAAATACATTTAATTGTCTGGGCTTAGGTAATTTTGAAAATTTTTCTCTCAGGTCTATACTAGGACCTTAGTCTGAAATTAAACCTCCAAAGCCGAATTTGTAAGCAATGCATCCACACTACCAAGCCCATTATTCCAGAATAAGGGGACGTGGAATTTGAGCTTTGTAGACCTAATTTTCATGAGAAATAACTCTATTCCCAAACTTGTAGTCTGAAATAGCGTTAGCGTGGCTACTCTGGTGCCACTAATTCAAACTAATTTGGGAGCTTCCTGGGGCTCTGAACACAAGGTAGCATATCCACATTAATGGAACCTGCCTCGCACTACATTCGATTCTTCCTCATAGTGAGGACATCAAGCTTCGAATTTATAAAATTAGGTGCCCAGAAGTTGAATTTAGTAAATTCAAAATAATCTCCTAGTGTAAACATGGCCTAAGAGAGAGTAAAGTGCAATAGCAGGAAATATTAAAACCCACCAGTATGGAATATGCTTGGTGAATCCTGTGAATGTTATGGGC